AGCAGACATATGGGCAGTGGGCTGTTACCCACACGATGTTACATCTTTGTTAAAGGCAGACCTGATGTTCCCACAGTAAAGAGGCTCTGCCAAACGAGAGGAAGTAGAAGAAATTCACTTAAATAAGACTTTTGTCTTTTAATACAAATCTTTTATTTGCGTCTGTGTCTTACCTCTCTGATCCTCCCTAATAAAGCTGTGGGCAGTTTTCTCCTCCATTACCCGAGCCCTGCTGAGGCTTCGTTTCACGTCCTCCCCAGGCCGGTTGTATGCCAAGCAGCTTGGTGCCAGGCCAGACTCTCGCTGCCAATTCAGCCTCCATCCTGCAGACTGCTCAACAATGCAATGCGCCACTCACCTCTGACCAGACCACCTCCCAGTTCAATCACAATGCATATCCCACGGCAGTCATAAGTGAAATAAGAAGCGATTGTAAATTGGCCGTAGGTGTGAACGTGGCTGCGAATGATTGTCTCTCTGTGCGGCAGACTGGTGTTAAACAAGTGTGCAGCTGCTGCGCAGCATCTTGGGTCCAGCTCCAAATGCAAACCCATGTCATGGAAATGCAGTGCAGTACCGTGAAGTTTCAAGCTTCAAGGATAAAGCCTTTACATTTCTGATGGTACAACCCCAAACTGTGAAAAGCTGGGAGAGCCTACATTTGTAGATGGCTCAAAATGATTAGCTCACCAAATGATTTCCTTCTACTTCCTCAGAGCTTCTTTGCTGCATGTACCGAGGAGCCAGAGATCAGTGTCATTGTAGCGCAACAATCTGCAGTTCTCAGTTTGAACTATGCCGATTTCCAACCACAGAGGTTTCTTCAGATTTCCAAATTTTTAGAATTGTAGCTTTACAGCAGGACAAGTTGTTAATAGAGGAAATCAAGTGTTTCTCAAACATCTGCTCAGCACATTCAGCCACACTGGATATGAACTCTCTGGACTAATAATTAAAGGAGCTGACCTGCAGTCATAAACCAGGCTCCACAGAGGATAGACCCGGTTCTCTTTGCCAGTGTTGGACTATAATGTGTTACTTAAAGTAAAATCACAGAACGCCACTTAATAAGCATGCTCGTGCTCCTCGTGGGATGAACGCTGTTAATTTGCTATTAAATGTATGTCAGCATCTGATATAAGAGACATGTATTTACAGGCACAGCTGTGCAGACTACAGGAGGAAGAAAAGAGGAAGAACCCAGCTGATGGTGATGACCCAGTTACCTCTGCTGTCACGCCGCTCACACGGGTGGAGATTTGGTGATTGAAGTACAACCTTCGTGTTTGTCTGACTATAATGAATGCTGCAGTCTCTTGGGAACACGATCGGTGATTTACAGTACGATATGAAGAATCCACAGAAGGACCCAGATTCGATAATACTGCTGTCAGTCAGGGAAGGTCAGCACAGCCTAAACTCATTGCAGAGTAACCTGATTTTGCTTATTCCTTTGCCACGTCTCTCGTTGTGTTAGATGGCTCGTTGGGCCTGAGATACATCTGAGAACCCATCTTCCCATGTCCATTTCCCATCCCTTAGGAAGACCTCCGTTTGCTGAGGAAATATTTGAGGAGTGTCCATTACTGAAGCTGTTATGAAAGTCATTTAACCGACAAGTAAGTTGCAGTCAGCTCGAGTCTGGGAGGGCGGCTGGCCAGCGAGATGATGAGGTCACTTTGAACAGCGACTAAGGAGGTTGGCTCCGAGCTGGAACGAGCACAGCTCTGGACAAACAAAAGCCTGTGCCACTACTTTTGTAGTGAGCTGAGCGTAAACACATTTCATAATCAAATGCGCACTCGCCCAGCCCACATGGACACTGGCTCATTTTTACTGCATGTTTGCATTTGTTTACGATGGATCCAGCCACAGTGCAGGCCAGCGAGCACGCAGTAACCAAGAAAGCGATCGCTCGTTAGCTTCTTTGTTCCTGTCTCACCTTTTTATCTGTCTGTGGTTTTCCTGCTCCCCGTGCTCTCACTCCTTTCTCTCCCACTCTGCAGCAGCATAATGTCTGCCGCTCTCACCCCTCCGCTGCCGCCCGCGTCACTTCCCTTTCTGATCGGCTGTCATGTAAACACAAGCATGCCCCTGCTCAAAGGCATGCTCTTACATACAGGCTCAAACACACACGCACACATCACTGAGTCACATGGGAGCTGCTAATTATGACCACATAAAGCCAGCGGAAACACAACTTTTACAGCTGGCTGTGTGAGCTGCTCTCACACTGTAGCTCGTTGTTCACAGGAAAAAAACCATACACCGTTTACTTCAGATCACAACAAAGGGAAAAAACATTTCTCAGATTAGCCTCTGATGCTGGGGATCCAAGTAGCACAGACTGCTGTGTGGCAGCAAAGAGACTCAGTGGACGGTGCAGTTGAACAAATCGGCTTCTGCGCTGACCATTTACACAAGCTAGCAGAAGAAAGGATGAAAACAATGTATTCAAATGAAACAGAGCTATTTGTTGAGACAAGGCGAGCACAAACATCTGACAGACGTCAGGCACAGTCTGTGACGCAGATTGGAAAGTCTGTCTTCAGTCAGCACGTGTATGCACCCACAAAAACAGTCACAGATAAACAGGAACCCACAGTAACAGGGAGGCCATGCTATCGCCGCTGAACACCACTGACACACTCCAGCCATTTCCAGCATGCGGCTAATCCCAGTTCAAATTCACTTTGCCAAGTAATGCTCTCGAGGACGGAAATAACAGCTTAGAGCTGCGAAAGTTTGCTTCAAAAGGATGATGGATTTGTTCTCGTGTTCTAATAAGGCCAAACACAGCAGGATTAATGCGGTTAATGGTTAATGCTGTGGGATTATTGCAAATTTCATTACTATACAACTACTGGAGGACAGCAGAGGTCACGTTTTACAATGCTTATACTTGTCAGGGCGCAGATGCTGTTTATCGGGAAGCCGACCATTCCTCCAGTCAAACAAACAGAATTTGGTTGGTTTCATTTGAACTTGAAAGAAATGATGCAGTGGCAGATGCACGAATCAGAGCTGATGCAGTCCCGTAAGTTTGTACTGGAGCAGGACCTGCGCTACCAAATTATTAGTGAACTTGATGTAATTTGAACAGAGGAAACATGATGTCAGAGCTTTGTTATTGGTTGGCTGTGCACTACAGAATCACTGTGTTACTGTTATGTAATGTCTGCCCTGGATTGCAAAGCTCAGGCCACATGCTCCACAGTACAACACTGTGATACAAACGTTAATGACAGGTGTAAGCGGGGAATCCTGTCACAGCCTTAAAGGTTTGCTTTGTGAAAGTGGCTCGTTGCAAGTGAAATTGATTGTTCGCCGACCTCTAGCAATGCATCGTAACAGCATACTGCACCCATCCTCCAGCGGACGTGATAATTGTGACAGGAACAAAGAAGGAAATCAAATAATGTCTTACGAAGCCACAGAAACAGCAGACGGACGATGGATGGACAGAACGCTGGACTTTAACACAGCACACTTTAGCTCACTTCCTTGAAGCAGAACCAAGTTTATCTTATTGGACTTTTTTTAACAAAATAAATTATTAGGCTAGCGCTGTCACATCATAAAGAAAGAGTTTTCCTTATCTCCTCTGGGTTGTACTGAAGCATGTTGTTATAATTACTGCAGTCAGTGTTTGAAAAGTTAAAAACTCTTTTGCACTCATTCTGTTTTTTACATTCTTGAATTAAACACCATCTGTAACTTGTTTCATTCTTTTTCACTATAAACAAAGAGAAACAGTGGACACACAGGCAGCGTTGCCAACCTGACTTTTTGTTCCAGCCACACTGTCCACAACTTCAAATACAGACTGCTGGTGTTATCAGTCTTTAGTTTCCTGCCAGTCGACTAATTTGTTCATTTCCTAATAAAAATATTTCAGCTCTTCTTCGGTGCTACAGTAACAAATAGTTTTAATAACTTGCTACTTCTTCTGTATCATTATTATATCAAACGAGTAAGAAATGGAAGAATCTGATTATTTTAGACACTACAGTCTGGAATAAGTCGTGATATTATAAAGAGTTTACATACGTCTTTAGGGGTTTTCTTGTCTGCTCTGCTGATCGGATCTGGACAGCCTTTTGTATCAGCTGCTTCTTGGAACACTTGGAGAGCGACTCCGGAAGAGCCTCTCGCATTAAAATATTGAAGTACTTCCCCTTTCTGGGTGAGACGGCGGCCAAAATAGGACGCTCTTTGAACTGTGTGTGTCATATACACAATGATGTGACTGCCCAGTTATGAATCAGCAAAACGCTGGATGGTGTGTGTGTCTGAGGGAGAGGGAATGTGTGTGTGTTTGCGCAATAACCAGAGCAGCAGGCAGGTGTTTTCTTGTTTTCCTCACCAGTCAGTATTGACACAATGAAGCGCTGACGGCACCTCGCAGGCATCCCGCAGGGAAATTGGGTGGCTTTATTAAACACATAGGACCGCTGCTTTAAAGCGACGCTCTCGTAAATGAGCACCGGAGCCAGAAAACCAGCACAGCCAGTTTAACACTCGGAGTTTACAGAATGTCATCCTTTTGGGCACATCTCAATGTTAAGTTGGAGAACTGTCAAACAATGCGAGCCCTCATTAAACGGTGAAACATACAAATAATCCATCTCGCTGTAAAAGCCGCACAAAATCACCACTGACAACTTCACTTGCTCTTGGCACCTCGACTCAGAGCTTCGGGTTCGCCACAGAGGCGCGGGATGTTTCCAGTCCAACATGCTCAACGTGAAAACGCGTTCTCAAAGCACCGGAGTCGAACCCTTATGCCCACTTGTTTACTTCAACTTCAATTTCTATGTGCGCAACACCACCTGGAATGCGGACACTGGCAAACACGCACATGGCCCGTGATCAAGACTCCCCTGCAGGGTGATTGCGCTTTCTTCAACAAACGCACTATTCCAAAAGCCCAGAGATGCGGGTCCTCACTAGGGTACAGCAGGCTGGCTACCAGGCACAACTCAAGCGCGAAAACGCACCTGCGGCAGCAACCCGGAGCCGATCCCCACACCAGCCGAGCTATTAGAAATAAGTTCACTCACACCGAAGGGCGCTCCTCCTTTGCTCCGGGACTGTGCGAAATACGCGCACAGGCGACATTTTCCTCCTCTTTTAAAGTGCGCGTCACAGCTGGCAGGTGCAACGGCGAACACAGAGGTCCCGTCCGATGAGGCGCAGTCTGTCCGGCTCGGCCCAGCCCGGTCGAGATCGGCAGCGTTCGGTTGGGCTCGGCCCCCTGGCCCTCTACACTGTCGGCAGATGACTGCGTACATTTCTGCTCCCTTCTGCTTTAGCAAAGAGCCCAGCGCACTCACTCTGTTCCTGCCTTTTCATTATATCATGTCCATGTGACACGCTCAGGCCTCAGTCGATGGAAACTTAAAGGGACCTCCCACGTGATGGCGCGCTCACGACAGCGAGCGCGTCCAGGAGAATTAAGAAATAAGATGCAAGGCAGCAGGAACCAGACCCGCTCGGGCTGGTTGATAACTTGTTTGGGGGGTTTGTCTGTTTTTTATCTGGAAGATTTTGCCGCTGGCTCTAATGGTCATTGTAGTAATGTCGGTCATCTCTAGTAACAGTAATGATGATGAAGATAAGTTGATGCTGCTGCTGATGAAGACTATGATGAAAATAGAGCGTGGTGTTTTATTGTAACGACAATGACAACTGCTATAGTCAGACAACCATTTGTGGTTATGATGATGATGATTATGACAGTGAGCCTGTAAAAGTTGTGATGATGATGATAAAGAAAACCTGATGGCAGCGATGAAGATAACTACATTTGGCTGGTGAAGATAACGATGATGGTCGTGGTGATGAATGTGAGAATGATGATGATGATGATGGAGATAATCCTCACTGGTTATAATAAAGATGATGATGATAAATAAAATGATTATCATGATAGTAAAGAGAATCCTTATTAGACGTGACAATGATGATGAAGGTAACCTTTGTTATTCTTAATGAACAGGCTGATGCTCTTTGTTAGCTTTTTTTTCCACCAATGAGCTCATGGCCTGTATGACATCATCACAGGGTGACTAACGTTGTGGGGAAAACACCTGATCTCATATCAGAGGCAGATTACCGAAACTGGATGTAAAGCTGTGTGTCTAGGACAGTGGACAGAGGGACACTTTGTGTGAATCTTGCTCTATTTACACTGACTTTACATTTAGATTATTTTACATTACATTTGCATTTTGTTTATTTTTATATCCTCTGTGAATGTGTTAGCATGGCTGAATACAGGGGTTTAAATCCCTCATTAACACATCTGACTGAAAAAGCTAATGTTGTGAATTTAAACAAGGATGTTTTTGGAAGCTGAGGCCAGCAGCACGGTAGTCAGAAGACTTAAAAGTCGTGGACTTTAGAGCTGATCTGAAAAATACTTTTAGTTTTACCACAGATCAGACTGCCATGTCAAATGTAAAGGGTCCCCCCACGGTGACCATCACCCCACTCTACCACTGAGGACCAAGAGACAAAAAAAATCGTTTCTTCCTTGTTAATTACAGCTGAACAGCAGCCGTGCCCAGAACGGCTGGAACGACATTAAAGCTTAAAAAAACTGAAGTTATTCAATAAAGTTATATTTAAAAACAAAATGAACTTTTAGTTTCACATTAAGCGATGCACCTCATCCACCTGGGTAGCTAGTCAGCGCCAGCTCTAAAGGCTCTAAACCAATGTTCCATAAACTGGTGGATGACTTCACTGTGGCCACAGCCATCCTTTATATACAGTCTATGTTGCTTCTTGCCAAGGCAGCAGGGAACACTCTAACAAAGCCTGTGTACAACAAAGACATTTACTCACTGGCGGCTTCACGCAGAGAGGCATTAACACTTCCTTAAGGATTTCTATATTTCACTGAAGAGTTGTTGGAAAGCAAAGGCCGAGGAACCGCAGGATAATGAATACTGGATGCGAAACAAACCTCGAGACAGTGCTAATGTTTCTCTTTGTCTGCTTAATGTTGGCTGTAACACATTATGGGCCATCACTTTATATGGTTATTCCACAGTGGTAAACCACGTCTCACTTGTGTTCCCAGTTTACATCCATGTACAGGAAACTTGACGAGCGTCCTTTTCCATTTCTAGTAAGTGGAAGTAAGGGTTTGCCAAGAGCTGGAAGTGTGCTTAAAAGACACACTGTTATCACTCTGCACACCATCATCAAGCCTGGATGGAGTCCACTCGTGGACGAGTCATCAAAAACTAACACTTTTGCTGAGATATGAGAAAAATATTCCAAAGACAGACTGGGCCATGTCGGGTAGCCGTGGGCTGCTGTTTCTCATTTAGTACATCTTTATGTCTTTAAAGCATGTTTTTGCAGAGATTGATTTAATTAAATTGCTATAGAAACCAATAATGTAGTACTCACTGCCTTACACTGACTTGAAGAAAACACCTGAAACAAGACAAAAACTGTTGTTAGCTCTATTATCTCGTGTTCGCTGTTCAGCTTTGGTGCGCGTGTTGTCTTTGCCCTCTGTAATGTTGGACTCTGGATAGCTGTCAGTGGATGGGTGAATACTAAGGACAACAATGAGAGCCTAGAACTTCATCCGCGTATCAGATGTGATGCTCCGTGGTGTTGTTGAATATTGGACTAAATTATAAACACAGGTTGATAAAGGTATCGTGTATCGCAGCTGCCACAAGGTTAGCGAGTACAGTAGATTAGGCTCAGTACATACGGCTCTTTGAAGTCTATGTGTGATGTGTGATGGAGGGACTTGGTGGCAGTCGGGACCGTGTGAAAATACCAGAAGTCTGAGGGTCTCTGAGGCTCACAGACCCCCTGTGGTTTGAATTAGAGTGGATTACAACTCTCAGCAACAAAAGACACCTCTCGGCTCCCCCTCTGTGCTCGTCTGAACGAGTGACACAGCCCGCAAAACGTGGATGCTTTTATGCAGCAAAGCCACAGTGCGAGTCTAGCAGGACGTCCATCGCCGTACGCACACTGCTAACTTTAAACTATCAGGCCGAAACTCACAATCGTTGGTTCGTTTATTTTAAGTAACCAATCTAGAAAAGATGAAGCATGAAAGATGCTGCCACATGCAATCAGCTGTTGAAGCAAAGCTTTTCATTGCCAATTTTCACTTTTATGAACTTAATTAAAACGTTTGATTTCAAATACATCATATAACTGTTACGGTCCTGGGTCAGTGACTCAGAGTTTTGTTTTTTATTTTCATCATCATCATCATTATTATCATTATTAATATTGATCTTGCTCCCCGGTCGTGTCCCTCTGTGTTCCCTTTGTTCAGATCAAGTCTGCGTCTCTCTGTTATTCTTCCTGTCTCATGTCGGTGTGTATAGTTTTGCTTTCCCTTGTCTTATGTGTGATTCCTCCCAGCTGTGCTCTGCTCCGGTGTCCCATTCCCTGCTTATCCCTCAGAGTATTTTAGCCCTGTGTTTCGTCCTCGCTCCACGCTGTGTGCTTCTCCTTCCATGCGTCCCTGAGATTGCTGTCCGTAGTTTCCAGGTTTCCCGTTGTCTTTGTTATTAGTTTCTAGTTTTGGTTTTGTAAAATGATGCTACTGCGATGAAGCAGCCTCTTTTAGTTTATTCCTCTGAGTGTTTTGCATCCTGCCTGTCACACAGCCGTATCAAGACAATAACATCATCGCAACAATTTGTATTGATTGTTTTAGTCACCATTTAACTGTTGCTCTGGAAATGAGCTTCGATTTCTTTTTAAGAACAAAATAGATTGAAAAAATTTGAATTGCATGATAGGAAGTGCATGCTGCAACAACTGAATATCAACTCAAACTAATATGGACAATAAAACAATGTGTGAAGTGAATGGGGAACAAAGGGGGACGAGGATACAGCTGACTGATATATGCAGGGTTGGTTAATCCACAAAAGGGTTAGCTAGGCTGCCAGAGGCGAGAGCACTCACTGCACCAACTGTTTGCTACAAAACCATGTGCCGAATGAGGCCCATATGAATGCTACAGCTTTCCTTCTAAATAGGCAGGAACTGGAACAGGTCAGCAACTGGTTTGAAGGTCACTGGTTCAATCCCCGACATTCTCCAGCCCATGTCTTGAAAGTGCCCTTGGCAAGATGCTGACATTATCCCCGGTGGAGTGTTCCAGTGTTTGTGTAACTGTTAGAAAAGCTTCTGTGTCCATGGATGAATGTGGCTCGTAGTGCAAAGTGCTGTTCGATGTTCAGCGAGAGCAGAAAAGCACTCCATATGTACAGTCCCATGCACCGCGTTATCCCCTGACAGTCACTGTCAGGCCTGAGACTTTGCTTTAAAAAAATCTTCGATAGCAACAAATTATTCTGGCACAACTTCACCTACTTCCAAGGTGCATGGAGACAAACATCGGATGACGTGAAGGCTCCAGGATACTTAATCTTAGGGAGAAATCAACACACATTGATAAAAACAGTACAAAAAACCAACCATTTGTACACATATTTACAAATGGCCTGCTGAGTGGTGCACAGAGCATGTTCATTGGTTCATGGACCTCCCTGAACTAATGGCATTTATTGCAATTGTCATCTTGCGGGGGGTTACCAGGGTTCCATCTCTAAATGACTGCTGGTCAGCAAACCTGGGAAACCCACAGATCATTGGAACTATGGCACAAAACCGCTTCCAAGACATCATGCAACACCTACGCTTTGATGACAAGTTCACCCGCTGTGATTGAGCAAAGACTGATAAGTTCGCTGCAATTTCCAGTGTGTGGGGATCATTTGTCACCAACTGCATCACGTGCTACAACCCTGGTCTACATATCACCGTTGATGAACAGCTTTTCCCATCAAAGACTCAGTGCTGTTTCCTGCAGTATATTGCAAGTAAACCTGACAAGTTTGGGATCAAGTTTTGGGTGGCTTGCGACCTAAAATCCAAGTACATTTGCAATGTCTTCCCATATCTTGGCAAGGACCCCAATCGTCCCAGTGAGGAGAGACTGTCTGAAAATGTAGTAATGAGGCTGATGGAACCATTCCTAGACAAGGGCAGAAATGTTACCACGGACAATTTTTTCACATCACTTTCACTTGCGCAAAAACTTCTTAGACGGAAAACCACCATCCTCGGCACAGTCAGCAAGATTCGCAGGGAAATTCCTCAATCCACTCAAACCCCCACTACCCTCCCTCCAGAATTCCCAGGTAACAACCTAATATACATATGAATGACTAGCCAATTTAGCTTCCACTTGGCTGAAGCTAAAGCTTAGCTAAAAGCCTACCAGCCATTTGGCTGCTCTCCGGGTTTTAAAGGTAGAAAGGTAGAAGCCTGGGGGTGCTACTGTTAAAGCAAGAGAAAACGGCTTTATCAGGTGACCAGCGCTTTCCAGCCCAAACTATTCATAGATCTATTAGTTGGTACAGAGCGAGTATTATGATGGTATCACTTTGATCTCAGAGACTATTTTCTACATTTTTACAAAGTGTTGCTCTCAGGTCGGCACAGATATCTGTTAAAAACAAGCATCCGGTTACAGAACTTGGCTGCCATGTGACCTTTTTGAGTGTCTTCAGTCAACTGACAGTAAAATGTCCAGTTGCAGCAGAGCAGCTTGTGGTGATCCAACATAACCAGTCAAGAAAACCAGTGTTTGACGTTATGGCAGCTGTGACCAGTTGTATGTTAATTCGTGGAGGTAATTTATAGCGTTTAGCTCAAAGCAAGACGCACAACCAACTACATACTGGCTTAATGTCAAGATGAAAAAATGTCGAGTCATCTTCTTTCAAAGTGTATGCTGCAAATTAGGAGGCTGAGTAGCTTTGTCTAACCGGAATAAAGCGCATT